AGATGTGTGTGTGTGTGTGTGTGTGTATGTATATATATATATATATCTTTAATTGAAATTTAATGTGACATTTATCTAGTTTTTAACATATGCTCTAGTAATGTGCATGAATTTAATACTTAATCCTCCGTCATTTGGCAGACTCTCTTGATTCCACAGTCCAATTTTTACAACAACTTAGGCCAGGAATGTGTTACTGCTGGGTGTTGTGTGGATCTTTTTCTTTTCCCCAGTGCTTATATTGACATAGCTACCATAGGTGAGGTCTGTCGTCTGAGTGGAGGACAGGTCCACAAATATTCCTACTTCCAGGTAAAACATTGTTTAGCTGTGTGTTAACTACCAGAATAATACAGTAGTCAAACCTTCATGAACCTACTTATTTGTAGGCTTATATATTCAACCACCACTAATCTTGTACAAATTTGTTAAATTACAAGTGATATTAGTGAAAGCTAGAAGACTTATTTTAAAAGCTATCTGTTTCTCAATGCAGGAGTTCATTGTATATTTTAGTTTGGCATATAAATCTATGTGCATATGTTGTTGTTTTTATTGTGCATGGAAAATTAAGTACAATAAATATGGTCATACTTTTCATATAACACTTTAATCATATTTTCACCAACATTTACAAATCTTCCCACTTTTGTACCTAGTGTATGTGCATTATACATGTATATGTAAGTCAACACATCATCACCTCAAAATAACCTAAGGCTGAACTACATCACACTGTCCATAGTTTCACCCCATTGCCAAGTGATTATACAATCATCATTTGAACACTGCCACAAAATAATGCAGCTTGTGTTGTAAAGATACTGGTGGACTTGGCCAGTAAGTTCCAAATTCTAATCTTTGATTGTTTTTTAGTGTTGATCATTTTATTTGAATGGAATTTTGTATAAAATGGTTTCAATAGTTGTCATGTTTTAGCATCTTCCATATTTCACGTTGTCAGTGTTTGAAACACAAGATGTGCAAGGTTTTTTTCTTGGAAAGAGAAAGGGTGGGGATTGTTTTCATCATTGATAAATATGCAGTCACTAGATGTGAAAATTCATTTGAGTGTGCTCACCTTGCATCAGAGATTTTTTTTTATAAAGCTTGATGCTGTTGAGTCAGCAGATTGGTTATACCATGTTTAGTTGACAAATGTACATGGAAGTTATTTCACGATACTTAATATAAAAAAGTGAAATATATAGCACAGCTAAATCAAGTTATGATTTAGTATAAGAATAAAGCAGTCGGTAATGTTCAACTAATAGACTTAACATTATGTTATACAAAAATGTTTTTAATCACTGCTAAACAATTGTTAGTGTAAGAATCTTGTTATTCAAGTTGAAATTACTTTTTTTTTGTAGGGGTGAGTGCATCCCAGTGATTAGGGTGGTAGACCTTAGATACATGGTTTGTGCCCCATTATCACCAAAGAAAAAATATGCTCCTCACTTTGGAGCAGTGGGTTTATTGTAAGAGTGAGGATCAAATCCCACTATATGATTAGAGTAGCTTAACAGTTGGTGTTGACTAGTAGCTTTCTTTATAGCCCTTGAGTATCTTTAGTGAAATTCAATCATCAACAACAACTTTTTTTGTTATTTCATTCACTAAATCTTCATATTAAAATATCAGAGAGTTAAATTTTTAAAATTTGAATTGAAAGTCCTTTTTGATATATATCTATGTTTAATGATTTATGAGAAAGACTGCTACCTTCATTTTACCTGTAAAGTACTGGACATATGTTTTACTGAACACTATGAACTATTGTTCATCTTCTTAAGTTCTGTTTTTTTTTAATTTAGTATGAAAGCTTACTGCTCTTACAAATAGGGATGAGTTTTCAGCTACACATTGGATTTCTGACTTTTTGTAGTCATGCAGTCTTGTTTAAGAGATTTACAATAATCCAAGGAGAAAATTGGGGAAGGAGTTAATACTTTGTTATCATTCAAATAACTCACTCAAAAATATAATGTGCTCAAAGTCAAATTTTCATTTAAAAAAAAAGTGCCACCTCATATCAGTCCTGTACAACAATGATGTATTCTCTATGTTTCAATATTTTTCACTTAATTACTTCAGCTTTTAACCATTCAGAATCTAATTAATAAGTTTCCTGATCTTACAAAATGATCTGTTTATAGCATGGATTTTGTGCATGAAAAGTTCATGACATTTGCATGATAGTTTCGTTTAAAGATAATATATATATATATATATATATATATATATAGTAAAAAGTAGGTACTATAGTATTATTAGTAGTTAAGTAGTAAGGTTAGTAGTACGTACTTTATTAAGGTACGTAGTAGTTAGG